TATATATATGAATCTCCAGAGTCATACACACACACACACATATGGTTATAGAATAATCCTCTTGTACAGTGTAAAGATGTGTCACTGGAATTGGTTTAATAAAATGTTGATTGGCCAGTAGCCAGACAGAAAATATAGGTGGGGCAACCAAACTAAGGATGGTGGGAAGGAGAAGCACAGAGTGAGGACTTGTCAGCCAGACCCAGAGGGAGAAGAAGATGAATGTGTTATGCTAATAAAGGTACCGACATGTGGCAGAGTGTAAATAAGGAATATGGTTAACTTAAAATGTAAGAGCAAGTTAGCTCTAAGCCTGAGCTATTGACTGAACATTTATAATTCATATTCAGCCTCTGAGTCAGTTATTTGGGACCTTCAGGTACATGTGAAGGCCATGTTCCCAGGTATCGTATGATAAGGAATATAAGTGCATCTCTAACTCACTGCCAGGACACCTATATGTGATGAGGTCACCCCAATGTAGATGATTTTCAAACTCAGTTATCCAGAATGCATGGATTGTTCACTTCATGGGATCTTGAATTACCCAGGAGACAAATTTCTACTGTAGATTATTGAGGCCAGAAGATCCTCTGTTTACATGTGTGCCTTCATAATTTGGGGATGGCTCCTTGACAGCAAACAGTGCTGAACAGAAGCATTTATTGCTCCCTCACTCATTAATTTGTGATATGACCAACAGCAATTTCCACTCAAGGGAAATATCCCATCCTGGAGGGGGTCTCATTAAACTCAGGAAGTAAGCATGTGATAGGTATGGGGAATTCCTGGATATTTCCAAGACTCACAGAACCCTCACTGCTCATAGCTATATAAACAGTAGACTGTAGGAGAGGAGACTTCCTCATCAGTGGAACTCCCTGCAAGTCATACACTGAGCTGAAGGCAGGCAACTCTCCTGAATTCTTACCCAGAGTCCACTTAGATTTTTAGTACTGCATTGAGTAGTTGTGTGTTCTTATTCTAATTCCTTATCCATGATCCTGTCTGCAATCGCAGTATTAAACTCACTGATTCATGAAGATAGGAACTTTCGTGGAATCACTGTGTCTGTCATTAGAGCCTGATCTGAGGTGAGTAGACGTTCCTTCTCTTCTTTGGATATTCACAGAATAGAGGGTCTTTTTGATTGCTGTGAGACAACGCAATAATTTGTTGCTCATGATTTCATTGAGTAAAAGTCTTTTATTAGAGAACATAGCATCATTTAGGCAGACATAATCCTCAAACAGTAGCAGAGAGCTTATATCTTGATCCCCATGTGGAGACAGGTAATACATAGGATTCTTTTACCTCAAAGTCCACCTTCAGTAACACATACTTGTGATAATGCCACACCCTCTAATCTTTATCAAACAGTTCCTACCAACTGGGGCCCAAACATTCAACTGTATGAACCTATAGATGCCATTCTCATTCTAAACCACAGTGACTTTAAAGTTATAGATCATGTGAAATCAGCTGTAAATGTCAGTGAGATCAATTCCAATATGGGCAATCCTGCCACTTTGTACTAACAACACATCTGAGCTGAGAGCACATCCATGGAAGTCTCTATCTGGTGAAAGTGCAATTTCATTTGCAAGGTGAGAGACCACTGCAGGGGCTGATGCTCCAATCTGTACTTCTAGGAAAGTTTCTCTGGGGTCAGCACCCAAAGTAGAAGGAAACTGTGAGATGGGGCTGGACACCGTCCCAAGATAGCAGAACATGACAGCACTGTCTACACTGTACTAGATGTGTCGACAGGAAGGTGCAACATTATGAGTGATGCCATGGGAGTCTGTTAAAAGGGTATCAAGAATATTAAAATATCAATGGAAAAAATACACTCATGGGTACAGAGGGAATCAATCTGGCCTTTGTAGTACTATTAAAAAGAACCACTTTACCATATCAGATGTTGATAGTGAACATCAAAGTCAGATGTTCACTATCCTTCCTAACTGTCCCTGTCGGGTCACAACTGCATGGAACATGGAGGTGATCGCTAAGTGGAATTGGAACCACACCATTTACTCATGGTAGACGTATAGGAAACTGGACTGTTTAGATAGTTTGAGCTATCTGTGCTTCAGTCCTGAGTGAATGACCCAGGACCAGTGACCCTTCACTCGGGAAGTAAGCATGAGCTTCTAGCACACAGGTGGTGAATATGGACCTGAGTTTGTGAAAAACCATGGAGACACTGGTAAAATTCTAGTAGAGCTCTCACAAAAACTAAATGGCTCACAGAGATTACTAGTTGAAAGTTTTCAAGGGAAAGAAGTACAGGTGGAAAACTCCTGAGATGGATTATGGGAGATCTTTGCAAGTAAGTGTCAGAGAGGTGGACATTTCACTTTGTTCAGTAATTATACTGTCTCTGTCCTGCACCACCTTCTACACTGTAGGGATTCCAATATTAACAACAACAACAACAACAACAACAAAAAACTGTTTTCCAGGCCATGGAGTCAGATCCATGAATGGCTCACACAGAGTGTCAGTATAGAGGAAGAAGGATTATTTCTTCATTTATTCGTAGGAATTATTGTGAAGACAAAGCCGACATTATACCTAACTGCTTGAACTTGTCTTTGTTTCGACTTTCCCTTTTTACATAGATACAGGGTCTCTTTAAATTTCCCAGTCCAGCCTTTCATCCCAGGTCCATTTGTCAAGTAACCGCCCAGCAGGTAGGAGCACAGTCAGATATAGGATGGCTGGTTTCAAAATCATCTTTAAAAGATACTTCTCATTCCTACATTAGTGTATTGCTTGGTTATTTTAAAGTAAAACTGAGTCAATGTGATTTTTAAACGCTGTAGTAATATTAAAAAATCACAATATATGGACCAGAAAACTTACAAGGCAAATATTTGTCAAAGGCTCGATTCACATTAATAATCTAGTGTTGTGGATCTGGAAGTGAACACCAGCCTCACTCCATATGGCTGTCCTGCTGACTCTGCTTCTTCTTCCTATACTCTACTGCAGGCAGCCAGACAAATCCAGGAACTCTAGAAAACTCCATACCTGGGTTCCGGGAATTCTTTCGCACAGACTTCTGGGAAATGTAGTCTATGGCACAGTGACATCACGGGGAGCCATGCAGGAAATTCCAGTCTGGCTTTTGATCTACACACGTGAGTCTCCCTCAAAGTTTGGCAAAAGTCCTCCCCTGCTCTACATTCCTGTTGCGTCTCTGACATGGAGGTTGGTCCAGGGGGCAGCGCAGCCTGAGGCACTGTGCGGGGTGCGGGGCTCCGTCTTGGAGGGAGCGGACCTAGGCTGGGTGGGAGGGAGGAAGAAGCTTCCTTGGAGGTGCTGTGCTGAACTGACGGGGTCACGTGAGGTTGCAGGTCAGGTCTGAGGTGAGGGTGATAGGGATTGCACCCTGAGTTATGGTTTCCTTAGGATGCCACATGAAGCTCGAGTCCACCTCAGGCTTCTGGGACAGGAGAGCTGTCCTGATAGCGCGGAGTAGATGATAGTGCAAAGTCCAGGATTGCAAACTAATGATGGTCAGCTGACTGCCTGCTCCTGAGGTGGAGCTGGGAGCTCAGTGAGCAGCTTTGGTGGGGAAGCATGCTTCTCTAGCTGAGCGGTTCTCACATGGACGCTGTCAGATTTCTCAGAATCTGTAGAGCAAACGAGGTCTGGTCCTTCCTGAACTCTAGCCGGCCTAGTGTAACGGTCTTGAGGTCTTGATCGTGTTCATCCTATGTGTCAGTTAAAGAATTAAGAAAGGAAAAATCCAAGTCGAAAAAAGGTCACAGGTGGGAAATTCTGGAACACAGCACAGATTTACTAGAATCAGCTGCTATAGAAAAGCTTTGACTAGGGTGGGAGAACACACATATAGCCCGTTCAGAGAGAGAGGCATCTTCTGCAGGAAGATAGGGAACTGTAGAAAGTGAGGCCAAGCCTCACCTTGAGGACTGGGTTTTCTTAAACTTTGAAAGGTCTTCCCTTATGTAGGGTGGACCACAGTGGTTGCGTCAACATGTCTTTACCTGGCCTTGGGCTTGTTGATCTAGTCCGTAAGCAGGGTGTCTAGGAACAGATGAAAAACTCACATGGCCTTGGGTTCCAGTGCCAAGCTTTTGTGTCAGGTCAGCAGGGTGAGGAAGAACTCACCGACTGTGTGTGTGTATTCATGTGATTTAAAGTAAACCGACCTGTGATAGAAAAGAAACTTCAGTCTACTGTATTGCACATCTCTGTCATCTCTGCATTTGTGAAGGGGAGGCAGGACATTCTGATCCTCCCATGCTTCACCAAAAATTCAAGGCCAGAGTCTGTGTCATAAAACATTTAAACATACTTCATGGTCATGAGAAATACTTTCTGTGGTTCATTTCCTGTTTCTTACAGTGACTGCCATGACAAATCCATGCAATCAGCACATTGCTGACTTAAAAACTGCTTGTGGTTAACTTCTGTTGACACATTCCACGTGTAATTTAAACTTTTGTCACTGAGATATTTTTGTTAAAATATTAAATTTTAGTGATTACATACTTATTTGCATTTACTCCTTGAGGAAGAATTCTCAGGGCCTTGCTTAAATATTCCTTTTTGTAGTGATTGTTCATTCTTTTTGGTTATCAATCTGTATTAGTTACTGTCGTGACCTGATGCTGATTTCTTCTGGTTTCACTGATTTCTTCCAGTTTGATCTTTTCATATCTAATCTGAGACTCCATTATTTCTTCATTTCCATTCTGCAGTTCTTGACTGATGTGGCTGCTATGGTTACATTCCTGGGTCTTTTTCTGCAGCTGCAGCAGGGATGCCTTCCCCTGTCCTTACTCCAGAGGTTCCACTGTGTGCAGATGCTTCTTACAGTGAGCCAGAACAAAACCACTTCCTCCCTGTCCTTCACATGGGCACTGCCATGTCCAACCAGTAAAGCAAAGTGCTCATGTTGGTTCCTGCTCTTCACAGATCCAGTCCAGGTCCCCTGTTGAGCAGTCCTGTCTCTTTCCTCCCAGGCTTCTTTCATTGTATTCTAATGTCAGTGTGAGGGAGGGAGTTCCTTGTGTCTACAACTCATGCATGAACCCTGCTGTGTTATACATATCATATCTGGAAAACTCTGATGGGAAGATATGCTGGGTGAGGATGTTCAGTTTCTGTCCATCGATGTATATGAGTATGTCTAAGGCCATGGGGAGACATTGCAAAAGATTTGAACAGGGGTCAAACATGCAAGGGATAAACTTGAGCAGCACAGATTTTCATTAATTACGTTGTCATTTTCAATTATATTCGTGTGTTTCATAGTGTCCTCCATAGTCATTATGAAATGCAACAGCATATTTTGAATTGAATGGTGTGTATGGTCACATGGTCAGCATCATCTCTTTGACAATCTGCATTCCATTGTTGTATTTGCATTATCTATAGAAAATTAAGTTACATCTATGAAGGTGCATGCCCCAAATCTTTTTTGCATACACTCGGCTTCCTGGTGCTTTAA